GCCTTCTTTTTCCTTGTTGAACATCATCACAGCATCGTCTGGCTGGACGATGTCGTGATGTATTCACGATTCCCTCGATTGGTCGTCTGGTATTTTTTGTGGACCCAAAGGACTTTGACTGGGATAATTTCTTCAAGTTTGCGTGTCACATCCTGCATCAGAATATAATTATTGGTCACTATGCTATTTCTTGACCGAGGTGGCGACTGAAACTGCGATTAATGCTCATCAGCTGTCATAAGCCATCGAAAATCAACATTGCCCAAGATTTGATTCATCAGTGTGGTGTTCACTTTTCTAGGTTTTTTTGAAGTTTCTGTTGATCCTGTTACATATTGTTTAAAAACGTATTGCCGTAACACTGAACAGTATCTTCAAATGTATATTGAAAAATTGGCAATAGCAAAGCGATTGTCAATAGCTTTCGGATACGCAGTCTTCGTGCTGGAGAAATGGGAGTTGTCTGTACTGAGATCGGTTTGAACAAAAGGATTATTCCTACTTCTTGTGTATATGTGAATTGCATGGTCCCCTCCTTTTTGAATTTCAATCTTGTCAGGTGCAAGATTAGCAACTGAAAAAACTGAAAAAATGCTATCAAATGTGCCATACGTGTTGACATTTTCACTCAGTACCCTGAGTTCCAGAAATATCTTCACTTGTGTTCAACATGTACAATTGAGCTTGGAACAATAATTCAATCAATCATGATGGTGCTAAATTTTGACTGAGTTCTGTATTACGAACTGCAGTAAATTGGAAACCGCGTCAAGAGGAAAATAATAGTCCTACGAATATAATTAACATTTTCTTAGTTCGCTCATTATTTCTATGAACAATAAGTCAGTTGATGGCTTCTGTCATACCTGTGCATTTTTCATTGAAACGTTTTGGATTTCGTTTTGCCCAAGTTCGCGCATTATTAAACGATTAAAATTTAGTTTTTGTTCCATTCGGCGATGGTTTTTCTCATTCCAGAGAGAGTAGACCTTTAAAATGGTGAAACTAACGATGAGTAGTGCATCCACGAGCACTATGACGGAAATGCAAACTAGTGTTACCTCAACGTCAAGTTGTCCGCAGTTCGAATCTGCAGTTGTACATCATCAAAGCGAAAATAGATTGCATGCGAAAAGAGAGCGATTGTTGGACGCGCAACTGGATCGTGATGTTGATCTGCACGAACGCTTCACATCGAATGCAAGCAGGAATATGAGAGAAGTTGATAAACGTTCCAGTCGTTTTTCCGAAGAACTCCGCAGCCAAAGATCAATTCAGAATGCTCTGGACGGATTCGTTGATTCTTATCAGCGCTCTGGTAATTCATTTGTTGTTTTGCCAGAAGGAATTGCTCATTTTACGAGGGGTGTCTTGATTTTCGGTCACAGTTGGAGACAAACGTTACTTTCGTTTGAAAACTCACTTTTTAGTGTGCTTTTATTTTTGAATAAATTCTCTCGTGATTTGAATGCATTTCTCAGCTCTTTGAGGTATGCTGATTTTGCTGATTTTGGTAGACAAACTGTTCGAACCTTCAACGCAACTAGAAAGGTAGAAAATGATCTTCCGATCACTGAAGACTCATTGGATGTTTTCTTTAGACTCTTGAGTTGCAATGAGAACTCGCTGGAAATCATTTTAAAGATCGACTTCGCTTTGAGTTACGCATGGCGAAAAGGGAAGAAGATGCGGTCGTTGTTTTCTTTTAAATCTTCCATGGTAGGGAAATTGAGTGAAAGGAAATTCTGCAGAATGTTCTGATCATGATGTTAACATCATTTCTTTCATTCAGAATGCTGTGTGAGAGATAAGAAGCACTGGACTGCGCACAAAAATCAGACACCCATCGTATGTACCAATTAACTGTACAATACAGTATTCTGCTAATCGCTGCAGGTTCCATGCGAGCGATGGAGAGTCGCCTTCAATCTCCTGTGATTACGGAGATAACCGATGAAGAATCGGATGATCAACTTTCAAAGGTGTATGAAGCCGAATCGGTGCATCGATCTCGACTAAAGTCTGAGCTGGACAATCTTTTTGCATCAGATGTCCAAGATCATGTTCCGCGTATATCAAGCACTGTCGTGGTGAACAAATGCACCGCACTTGCAGTTGTTGTTCTTTTGGTTGCCCTCAAGTTCTTCTCACAAAGTGCGAGCGTCGTTCCTTATGGCAGCTCAACTTCATCCAACAATGGGCCGCCGTCTTTCCTGAGCTTTTCTTCTGGGTCGACGAACTATGCCAACTCTGGGAACTACAAGAAGGATAAAGCTCTGAATGAATATCAAACGCAAACTTCTGGACATCAGCATTCTGAAAAGGGCCAAGACGCTTCGAACGGGTTTGGTGGACCTCCTAAAGATCCTCGATATAACCGTCCAAACAAACATCACTATGAGTCGACGATTGTCGACCCTTTCGAAGCATTTCAAAACATTATGGGTTCTTCAGGGCCAACGTTAACGTGGCCTGCTGGAGTTTCCGAAAATCAAGAGTCCAGAACGAGAATGTCTCAGATTGTCCGAACAGCGAATAATTTCATTCGACAGTTTCCACGCGACGAAGATACGGTGCGAAATGCTGCGAGATGGGCTCATGGACGACAACGAATGGATTTGCACCCGCCGGACCGTGTTATCAACTCGTTCGCCACGAACTTCGAAATTTACATAGCCATTGCTAGGATGCGCAACTTGCAGCTGCTTCAACGGGTAAGGGTTTTTAAAATGTATCATTGTTAATTTAAAATTTCCAGTTTGAAATTTTGAATGGTGTAATGTAGATGAGTTTTGAATACGTATCTGGACTCGGGAGAAAATGCATCGAACAGAAATGACGCCGCACGAAAGCCATGCTGACCTGAATTTTGAGTTTTCGCGATGATGCTTTTCATTAACATGCCGTGCAATATTTTATTGGAATTATGCACAGGCAGTGGGAATTCCTTTTTGAATGCTTCTTTTTCTCCAAATCCACTCACGTATTTTAAAAATATTTTAGTGTGTTCTCATGCCTTGCATTGAATTAAAACGAATCCTTGCACAGTCAACACTTCATATAATGCACCATTATTACTGTATTGCATAAAACCACGATAAAAAGTACGAATAAATCACCATTCAAGTATCCAGTCAAAAAAGTATTTACAGTATTGATTTTTTTTCATTGCCTGTGTAGAAATAAAGTTAAATGCCGTAATTAGCCGAATTGTGTTTTTGCACGAATCTCGCTTTGCAACGCGATCATAAGTCAGTGTTCATTGTGATCTGACGAGGTGATTTTTCTACCTTGGGATTTTGTCTGAATGCCTTGATCCTTGTAGGCATTCAGAAACTGAATGACATTGATAAGCGTTTGATAATAATTACTCAAGCGCTATGCAAACTCCGTCCATATTTGTGAAGTGTAGGTGGTACGGAAAAGCAATTGTTCGTGCTGGTCGTTTCTATAATGCGCTTCCTGTTCAAAAGTATAATATCTGGTGTCATCTATTAAAACGCGCGGATAGTATAAAAAAATGCATTCAACTCAGTTTTGCCCGCTTCTTTTACAGACCACTCCGGAATTAGTTGAGCAGCTCCTGGATAAGCTGAAAAAACGAATGAGCAGTGATGCACTGTTGCGGTTCGGGAATCCGATGGAAACTACGTCAACCTTTGTGCTCGGCAGAACGCCGATGAATGAGGCCGTCAGAGGAGGGCAACTGGGATTCAGCTCCCAAGACAACTTCATTTACCACTATTTAAAGCACGGCTTTGACACTGCGATGGAGGAAGGAACCATGCCTTGGGAGTCATTTTCGGGCTACCTGGATGGCGCTGTGGACGGCGTTGGTCCATTTCACTACATTTTAGAAGCGAACGAATTTATTGAAAATTTTCCAGTTGAGCAACTGCGTTTCTTCCCTGAGGATTCCTCTCTTTGGTCTGTAAACGGTGTGAAGATTATTGCTGAAGGAAGAGATAAGAAAGCCGTCATTGTGTTTACCTCTCGATCGAAAATCTGGTTCGCAACTTACTTCAGAAGAAACTAAAGATAATCCTCGTGCTTTTGGACAAATTTTGTGGCATTGAATGATTTATTTCCATTTGCGGTATGCATTACTGTATTTGACGGAAATGAAAATACTGTAGATGGTGAAGTCCTCTCGGAAACGTCAGGAGCTTATGGTAGAGGTTGCGTAACCTGTGACATATCTAGGGCTACGGTTCCCACCGCCACAGTGATGGTAAAGGGGATTTCACCGGCAACGGCAAAGGGCGAGTTGAAATACAGTACTTTTACTCCGTGGGTGAAGCATTTATTATTTTTTGGGTCTCCTTATTGTTTTGGTTATGGTTTTGTTGACGCCTTTAAAGAATTAATTTCAAATCGCTACAAGCGATTAAAATAGTAGCCATGAATTAAAAAACGTTATTGAAAGTTAGAAAAAGCTGCTTCCAATTTCCAGTTTACCGAACTTTCAACTTCTCTGCTGAGAAAGTGAACGAAACCTTGGAAGAAAAATATGATCCGTTTGTAAATTTTCTCGAGGCGTTATACTGCATAGCGGAAACAATTGAGCTACTTTCTAAACCCTTACTCAACAGTGTAAAAGGTATAAAATGACTTATGTCCAATACTCCAATCCAGGTTTCGTTTTAATTGCCCCTGGATCGTTTTTGCAGAATTTTCGAAAAATTTCGATTACGTAATTGCTATACATGTAGCCATAGTAAGAAATCGTAGATTTAAAAAATTCGTTCGGTAAACGATTGATTCAATATCCGAAACTGAGAGCAAATATTATATCCGAAATCGTTTATTTTGAGCTATCGGATAATTTTTTTGAATGGGTAAATAACTTACTACCGTATAATATGGTCCTGAAAGATCTATTTGTTTATTTTTAGTCCAAAATCAGTTGGATTTCTACTATGTATGAGAATACTGTACATTCTTTACTGAATGTACCATGCGTACGTTTTTTTCGAAATCCAGCAGAAAAAGAGGGTGCGCGTTCTGAGCGGATTTCTAACTTTTCAAAAATTTTGAAAGCTTTGATGATAAAGACTTCGTATCGGAAATTTCCGAATTTTCAAGGAAGAATTACAGCATTTCGATTTCAAC